GAGACTTCATTTGATGTTAGTGGATATTGTTTTATGGGCATCAGCATATAAGTACCGACGATCCAAATTCGTCATCATCTCAAAACTGTCACAAGACTCGGAGATGATCTGTAAGGTTCTTGGTTCTTTGAGACAAAGAGGCTGCCATGTTTTATTCGCACTCCCTGAGGTTGATGTAAGTCCTGGAATGACTGTACGCGATAAGCATGTTTTATTTGCACTGCCTGAGGTTGATGTCGGCACTAGTTCTAAAATGACTGTATGCGATGAGCAAACTAGTTCTGAAATGACTGTATGCGATGAGCAAACAGATCGTAGAATCCCAGTTTGGATTTGTCCAAACCTATTCGACCTTGACTGCCCACCACAGCCAGAGCATGGAGATGAAAAGGAGGGCTATGTTATAGTGCATCCAGCTCCAGATCCCCATACCATTAATTTCTCCATGCCCGCCAATGTTGATACATGCGTCTTCTGGGACATCGAGGATTACCCACTTCCTCCGGGTCTCCAACTCTCTAAGTTTTATGAGAATATCTTAGCAGCTGTTCGTTCTCGTGTTCCTTCTTCCGGTGGCGGCGCGTTGATCTACGCCTATGTTGTGAAAGAGGAGGAGGAATTTGTTGCGCCTGGCTCCGGAATCAAAGTCAATGTGGTACGCAATGCTCCAGCAGACAAATTTGCAAGACTTGCTAAGATTACAATGGACTTTCATTTGTGGTCAATGGACAATCGTCCCAAACGTCGCTACCCTCCTGTGTCCCGCCCAAATCTGCTGGTAATCACGGAACGCTTGGAAGCTGGCAACGAATTGTGCCTCCGGTCTACCCTTCGTGGTCTGAAATTGAGAGGTCACAATGTTTTCCTTGCACTGCCTGCTGAAAAAATCCCACCAGCGGAGTCGTATGATGAGGATGATCTTCCGTTGTTGTCTTGGGAACGGCTAACAGGAATTGGAAACCTCAAGAGAGGAAGAGAAGAATCTGACTAAGTTCTATCACCTTATCCTTGTTATCATTATTATGTTTTGTCATGAAAAACAATGGTTTTTATGATCACT